GAGTGGCGTTGAGTAGTAGCGCGCAAAGCGTCGATTGTGCACCGACCATATTGAAAACTTCAACGGCCCTGTGCCCGATGCGGTGACAGAGGCGCAAGAAAAAAAAAAAAAAATCACGCTGCTCTACTTTCCTCGTCTCCCGCGCTACACTGTACCATCCTCCTCTTCCTCGCTGTGTGTCGGATAACGTCGACGACGGAAATACAAAAGTTCGATTTATGTCCTCGCGTGCGCGCATTAAGCTTTTTTTTCTCTTCTTCTCCATCCCATGCTCTTTCGCTCTTTCGATTTTTCGCATTACTCCACACTTTTTTCGCTCTCAATGCTTTTTATCGTTGCAGCGAGTTGGGACTCCCTCTCACTCTTTGTTCAAGTATTCTTTCTCTTTCGAGTCAGTGATATTTCAGTGGTCTGCAGTATCCGATTGATCGAAAAGACATTTGATAATTAAAAATATGGAGCTTACCTGATGTATAATTGGTGTTTTTGCGCTTCTTTTTTGCAGATATCGGATCGATTATTCGAGAATTCGCGGATCCAAAAGAGCGGGTACGCATACATTATTTATTATCACTTATTGATTTTTGTCGGGCACAGTGCGGCAGACAGAGATAAAAGCAGTAATTTACAAATTGAATGCTCTCGTTTTCCTTTTCGCTATCTCACGAGTGCCAATTTTTTTCGCTCTTTTTTTTCACAAAACTGCGCTATCTCCGGTTCAACATATCAATGTCCATATTCCGGGGTCGGTTGCACAAGTTAAAATGGAGGAAATATATACGTGTATGATGTATTGCGTGAGGTTTTGGTTCCAAGAATTTTTTTTTTTTCATGAGTAGACACTCTATTAGTTTTTTTTTTTTTTTTTTTTTTTTTTTCGTTTTGTCAGTATTGAATGTTAATTGATTAAGACTTTTGCTAGAGTACTAGGATGTGTGTTAATTAAAGTTGTTGAATAAAAGTAAAATATGTACACTTGTTACTACCATGTAATTGCCACAGCCAACCAGATTTTAACTTTAAGGTAAATAAAAGTTTGTTTGGCACTTGAACCCTAATTTACTTTCATAACAAGAGTAATCAATTTTATGATGAGTATTTTAATTTATATGTTTTCAAAATACTTTAGCGTATATAAGACTTTAACCCGTTTTTTTTCTTTTCTAAGATTTAAAAAAAAATCTAAAAAGATCCGGCTGCTTTTACAAATGAAAAAGTTGACATGGTAATAACAAATTTTTAATATGAAGGTGAAACAGTCATCGAGAAAAAATCGGTAGCATCATAATCGGTTCAAAAAAGGCTCTGATGTTCAACCAATTTAACACGCACACGCACGCACTGAAAAGAAAAATTCAAAACATCAATTCATTACAAAGACGACAAAATATTTAAGAGAAAAGCTTCAATTCAGCTTGAAAGCAGAGGAAACATCGATAGAAAAGTACCCTCCAAAACATTTGTATGCAAAGTATCACGCACGCAGAAGTAATTCGTTTCGGCACGTGTACCGCGTAACGCGATTTAATAACACGGTGATGTTAAAGCTCCACCAACGGAATTTCGAAACAACGCCCAGTCAGCGGATCATATTATCGAAGCGCGGACGTATACATGTATAGGCGGCCAAAGGCAAAATACCAGCTCACTCTGTGATCCCTACAATTAAATTCCCCACGGGGCTGTGTACGCGTTTAGGCGCAATAGCTCGTTGAAACTCTTCTCCGATATATAGGATACACGGCACAACAAAACTGTGCAAAAAAAAAAGAAGGGACGTAACTAGCGAGTATAGTAGGAAAAAAAGGCCATCCTCGTACAGTACGCAGCGACAGATGAATCGAGAGCACGTGTGTCGAGGGTGGATGGGGGAAGTAGTGGTGCGCCCGACGCACAATGCACTCGTCAATGAAACTGCACTGTTCCCGTTGACGTGCGCAATTGAGGAAGCACGACAGTGGATGGCGGTACAGATAGGGAGGGGGAAGGGGTTGCTGTCGCTTGCAGTCTTTTTTGCTCGAGAATGAACTGTCAGACGTGACGGTGCGCTTTAAATAGTCCATTCGAGCTCTGTGTCATCGAATGTCACGCGAGAGTTTGTGCGTGGGGGTAAGAGAGACAGATGAGATAAAAAGAAGAGGGATAACACTCTTACTTCGATGCGCTTGGCTCCAAGATTTTTATTGAATGGCATAACGAGATTACGGCCAGGAGGCGGATGTAGCGGTGACTGGATCTCATTTTTGTCGAGCTGCCTGTGTATCCGGGAGGACGATGGACGGTTCGAATGGCTACGGGACGCACTAATCGTTCATTTAATGGAGTGACTTTATTTTTAGTTTGTATACCTACGTGCATAATGTAAGAGCACATAGGTGGGACAATTTTGGCAACAAATACATTTGTAGTGAAATCTTGGAAATGATTGAAATTTTTCCAGATAATACGTGCAAGCACATGTATGTAATGGTATATATTGTTATTAGTAACGGCTCTATCAGATAAAGAGAAATAAACCCACAGATCTTAGAATTACTTTGGATTAAGCTGTATACTGACGACTCTTCAATTTTTCGAAAAAATAATACTTCCTCTTGGCGTAGAAACTTGCGTACCTAGAACAGAAAACACGTTCACTTGACCTTTAGCTTCACCGTAAGAAAATTATTTTCTCATAATCATGTACGTGTAAATACGTGTACGATGTCATGCAGTACATGAGTAGAATTTAGCTACAGCAACATTGACTTTCCATGAGGTGAATGCCCCGAACGAAGTCATAACGATGAAGGTTTGCTTAGAAAATAAACATTCAGAGTGAGTTGTTTTCTCTTAAATTTTTTTTTTATTTTTGAAAGTACAAACTCTTACTTTTTCTGTCTTCTCTATTCGTTCTATAGTTGTATTAAGATCTTGACACCTAAAGTGGTTTGTTTGACACAAAATAAATCCTTCTCTGTAAAGAAAACTGCACGCGTGTGTGACTACGGGACATCATCCACGGCACGTCTAGTTCAAGAACTAGTTAACGAAGTCCGCATAATTGAGCCATTAACTTTAATTACCCGAACAACCAAATTTGTCACTTTCACCGCTACGCCCGCGCTGGACCGCTGCTTTGTACCTAATAATTAAAACTATGATGTCGAACTTTGCAACGAGTACGAACTTTGCTTACAAGTAAGTTTAGAACTGAGGTAATTTTGTCCATCCCTGTCTACAACTGAACATGTTTCGTACACAAAAGGCCCTTTAAAGCTCAATATTGTGAGCAAAATAATATCAATATAACGCGTACACACAATAATCCAACGCGTAATGCACAGCTTCAATTTGATGAAAGAAGCCCCGCATTGAATACGCCTTTTGTCACGGGCCATGAGCTCGTGGAGGGAGAAAGTGTCGATTATCGCCCGTGTTTATCGCAGTGGCGAATTCAATGAAAGCCGCTGGCATCCAAATGGCCTCTGCTCACGTACGCACATGATCTCCCCCCCGCCTCCTATTTGCCGGCTCATCAATCCTCCACGACGACTACTCGCTTCAATCGTTACAGTGTACGGTCAGGACCTCCCTTGCATTGTATGTAAAATTTCAATTACGAGAGTCCTTTCATTTGTTTAAGTATATATAAGAAATTTCATCGTTGCTGGACCGCTCGGGGACAATTGCTACCTACACCCTTGAGATACGAGGGTGCCATTTGTCAAAATTATTCACGCTAGATGTGGGTATACGTCCATGTGCTCATCGATCTTACGAGCAAAGCGTTGGGTGAGAGTCTCGTGTTTTATGTTATTGCGTTAATAAAATATCATTGGGGTACCCCAAATTATTACTGCTTTGAAGGGCTTACTGATGGCAGAGTGGTTAAAAAATGGTAAAAAAACCTAGTGTGTTGGTAAAAGTTTTTTTTTTCAGTTCCTAAACCATTACATCCCTTCCCTCGCTACTTCCCAACTTTGTTTTAGACAATTTCCATCCGTGTTTTACGTTTACTTGTGTGATGCCGTTTAACGAACATCGGAGCTTTGCGTTCCCTCCCCATTTTGATGGCACAGTAATTGCCGAAAAGAGCATCAGGGGCTGCACTTGGCTCATTCCAGCTGCTTTTTACACCCCCGCTTCCCTGGACATGGGATGGTTGAATTTCACCCTTCTGTGGTGCAACAACTGCAATCATCAGTTAAAGGGTGGTCGGTTGTTATTGTTACCACTCCTGCTGTCACATGCATTTTCGGAGTGTTACAGCGGCCGCAGTAATGGCGCAGGCAGGTACAGAGGGTCGGAGGCTGTTTGTGCAGTTAACCAGAGACCTCCGTTCTTTTTAATTTCATCCCCTAATCTTATGGATTATTAGATGCTAGTAGAATCAACAGTTCTTTATTTAACGCAAACTTGAGGTGTCAACTTGTTTTATTGGCAAGTACGGAATTTTTGAAGAATAATTTCAATAAAACAACTCATCACCTTCAGTCATGAATGTACTACTTATGCTGGTTACATGAGTTGATTATGAGATAACTTGGATGTTTTACTGATGTGACGTTAAACTGATCTTCTAAAAGCTTATTAAGTACCATTGCATTATAATAAAATTAAAAATTATTCCGTGAACCTGATATTGGGAAGGCAGTCGTTAAGAGAAAAAATCGGGAGATGATGTCTAACGTTATCTTAGAATTAAAAAATGGATACAGCGTACCTCTTGATGTACGTGATTGTCCTCAATAATTTATTACGACACAAATATATATATATATATATACATATATATATATTCAGATATAGTAACAATTGTACTGTGGAATATGAATGTTTCTGAAAATATCATACAAGTTTCGTGTATTCTTCAATTGGACTTTTGCTATTTACAATAATTGTAATCTTAAACCAATTACTAAAACTATTTATTATTAGTAGGTAATACTTGTTAATCTATATGAAAATTTGTCAACATTATTAAATGTTTAACCTACGTTTACTCAGTACTGTGTAAATAAAAATTCTCAATTAGTACGACAAACTTATTTATCCCACTCAAATTTTGCACCTAATCCAACCTTGCCTTTTGTCTCCTCGTTGGGCGTTTTAACAACTGAACCCGTGACTTCAACTTTTCCATCAAAACTTCCGTATTTGCCTTCCAATAGTATTTGCTTACCCTCGATGACTATCGACGATTGTTGTCCTACCTCTTTTTCTATTTGAATCACAAGCTCACCATGTTTTGGTGAACGTTTCAACCGCTGAAAAGCCGGAAAATTTTTTTTCAGTTTATACACAACTTAATAATTAAAACGTCCACGTATTCAAAAAATTTCTACTCACATCACTTAAACCAAAATCAGATACATAAGCACTTTTGATCGAATTTGACTCAACAGTGCGTGGCACGCTGGCACTCCAGACGCAAAAAACCATTGTAAGCAAGAATAGCAAGCTTACAAGAAATTTCATGATGGTGACTCTCTGTTTGAAAATCATGGAATAAGTGCTGTTTATGTAAGTAAGAATATTTAAAAGAAGTTACAAAATGTCGTGTAAAAAATTGTACTTACTTGTATCATGAATTTCATAAGATGTGTAGTTGAAACAGCGTAATCTCTGGTGTTGGTCGGGACAGAGTCGTAAAGCTTCTAATTTATCAAGTAATACTTTCAGACTGTACGTTTATTTTTAAAATTAAAGCTTTTATAGGTAACAGTTAACCAGACAATAAAGATATATACACAGTTTGACGTCAAATATTTATCTGAAATTAACAAGTGATAACAGGTACGTCTTACTAGTTGTTGTGAATGTGAAACCATTAAAGTGTTTAATTATGCTATCGATCCCAATGTGTTTAATGTTATTATAATTTAACTAAAGTACCTTTTCCGTCGAACTTTATGTAAAACTGTGAAAGAGTGAAATTCTCTCTGTCATTACTGAAACTATAACGCCCACTTGTTATTCTTGCATGATCCGCTCGTTCTGTCATACGATGCTTGAACTGCGTCAGCGAGATATAAGTTTTATCAGAGTTTCGTATGTGTCAAGCTCTAATTTACATTAAATTTCGATACAAAGTTATTTTTGACTTGTTATTGTGTCTTTTTTTACACTGCCAAATTAGTTTTTCTTTAAAATTTGTAAAAATTGTATACGTAAAAAACCTTTCAGTTCCCTACCTCTGACTATAAAAGTATAATTTTTTACTCTTTTTTTTCAGGTTGAAAGTGACACGTTTCTGACTAGGGAAACGTATCCTAAGATTCTACACATGGGTGTCCTTGTCCAAGTGCAACTTTGTTCCGAAGAGAAAATGTGGTACATGGATAAGAACAAGTGTCACCCAATTTTAAAGAAAATTGTTTTTTATTTCTCATATTCATTTTAAAAAATCCCCTTCTCATCACTAAAAACTTTGAATCGATTCCATGCAAGTATCGTGCAACAATTTGGTAATTATATAACAATAGTCAGACACAAAAAAAAACATTTACAGTCGTCATTGTATCACTTTAATCACTTTTTATATCCTCAATATTCCCAAGATTACACCCACACCGAAAAGTGCACACGCACGAGACGCATAAATAATCTATAAAACTCAACAAAGCCCGCTCCTCGGCAACGCAGGCGTACATGATACATATCATCAATCATATTAGCTAATCTCCAAAGAGTCGGCCGTTTTTTTTTGTGCACACACAAGCCGTATATATGCAAAGTGTAAATGTCGAGGGAGCATATGCTCGCGCACCTCCCTGCTGTTTTTCATCCAGCGATCCCCTCGGCCGATTAAATTTAAACACGGCGTCGTCCACCTAAATTGCTTCGCGAAATAAATTAACGCCCGCTCATCGGTCATACACTGCCGTAGCTCCTCGTGTGACTGTTTGATTGGAGAAACAAAAAAAGCGCCACGTTCCGACAAGCTTTTCATGTACAATCGCGTGCTTCTGTAGCCAACTTTTTTTTTAGTAGATGTGACGTCGTTTTTTAGTTTGATCAGCTTTTTGTCTACCTGCAGCTGTTGGATCAATCACCACTGAGCAAACAACGAAACTACAGCTTCATTTGTGAAGATTTCATGATTTTTTTTAATTAAATGAAAAATTGATAAAACTTTGAATCACGGAAAATCACAGAAATCCTTTAACCATAATAAACTAAAACCAACGCAATTATCTTCTCCTTTCGATATTCACAGTCCTTCGTTACGTGACACATTCACTTAATAATGTCATTCGAGCTCCTTGTAATTAGACACTTGAAGATTTTGAATTATTCGAGAGACTCGTCTGTCTACTCCGTACACCCATGCATAAATCTACTCGATATCGAAGCTTTTATCCGAGGGGAACGACCCCTTATTTCTCCAATACACACGTAGATGGTGTCTACATTTTTTTTTTTTTTTTTGAGGCACACACAGAATTTATCGAGTTTTTTCGCATACGGCGTTTAGTTAAAAAATAGGGTTCCACTGTCGAGCATGTATAGCCGAAAATTAATTACAATTGAGTAGTGGGTAGGGGAAGGGGGATCTACTTTATGAAACGCACTGAAAAGAACTTCTACATAACACGAGAGTTTGTTTTTTGGTGTACACAGTTTTTTTTTTTTTTTTTTTTTTTTTGTTACGACAAACTTTTACACAGGTATGTGTACTATGTGCCTTAAGCGCCAGTGATATTTTTTAATTATCGCAAAAATTTATAGATGAATGGCCTTTGCTCTCTTGTCCCCAATTTTTTTACCTATAAAATCAGACATGTAAGGGGAGATGGAGAAATGGTTTATTTGCAACGGCACTGCTCTACATATTTTTCTTTGACAAATATTCATGTAGATGTACTTTTTCAAGCGAGTATCGGACAAAAAAAAATACAAGAAAACACCAGTTGCCAATACATTTTCCTTTGAAAACTAAAAATGTTTCTAGACTGTCCACTTCATTTTTCATTTCACCTGTTGACCTAAAATCAGATGTAGCCATACACATACATCCACTTACGAGTAGTGTAGTACACATGGTCCGACATACTGAAACTATCGCGGCGAAAGAAACTTTTCCACTCTGCTCAAGTGCTTTCATTGGTACTTTCACGGCTGATGACTAATTTACAAAAGATGCACTCCCTATTATTAACTACGGAGGTAAAGGATGTTTTTTAGAATAATGCCACCTCAAAAAAGCAATTTTATAATTAAAATTCAAGTCTTTCGGTGACATATTTATTATGTAAGAGGAAAAAAAAAAAAAAAAAAAAAAGAAGAGAGAAAAAAAAGTACGTATGCCTAATAACAGCATGGAATTTTATGAGCCACAGCCCAGAGTCATAACGCCCATACGAGCGATAAAACAGCATCCCCGGCAAAAGGGTCCACAAAACAAAAATCGAAGTAGCAACGGCAGCAATGGGTATGGACCTCCGCCGGGCATAAAACTCACCTATACACGGACAAACCGACGCAGATACATACACCAACCTAATATTAGCCGATTCGCCGACGCGTATCTAAAGCCCAGACCGTGTGCCTTCCGTATGCGAGCATATACATATATATATATACGTACGAGACGCTCTGTCCTTCCTCCCGAGTTAAAGTGAATAAAAGTGATTTGTGAGCGAAAACACTTGCGGCAGCGAGAGCTTTTCTACCACCGCGTATCTATTCGGGGCATAAATTACACGCGAACCACGCGTCCAGTGCCGAGACTACGGCAGAAAAGCGAAAGAGGATGTAATGCGATGGATCGCCCTGAGCGAGGTATTATCGAGGTCGTATTCAAAAACCTGACTCGGGACGTGACGGCCGCGTCGATTGATTTGTTTGGTGCAGTGCCATAACACATACTGCTGGTGGTTCGTCGTAAATTACGCATCCCCGATGTTAAGAGGTCCCTTTTTTTTCATCCCTCGACGTACACATGCAGGTAAGAATCTCTGATCTGTGCCCAAGTAGCTCACTCGAGATAAGTTGCATCTTTTCAACGTTGAGTTATTTATGACGATCCGTAACGGCTCGATCGACTTGATTGATTTAAGGTTAAACTCACTGATGGCAACGTTCGAAGTTACGAGGTTTATTGAAAAAGTCGTTCACGTAGAAGGCCAATTACCCTCGCCGCGGGTCAGCACCACGTGGAATCTAATTCACGGCATCGTCCACCAAACACCTATATATAAATCTTCCCGGTGTTCCAAACAGGAGTGGAAAAAGGGGGGGGGAAATAAAAAAGAGAGAGAGGGAGACAAAAAACGCAGAATCCCCGGTAATAATGGGCAATAGGTAATGCGAACGAGGTCTTGGATACTCGCAGGCTTGGAGCTAGAGAGATAACATCAGCCCAGCACGAGCGTGGCGATGGAACGTGACCTGGTTTCCGCAGTGGCAACCTGCAGCCTTTGCTCCTTCCATTTTCCTTTATTATCTACCCTTTTCTGAAGGATCGTAGTGTAAGGAGACTCGCGTCGTGATTTCGTGCTTACACACGTAGTACATGCGCCGTACATGTGCTGAGTGTACGAGAAACAGCAGCAGCTGAGGTTATTAATTGAGATTTCGATAGAAGATTGTTGTTTGCAAGAGGTGCAGTGTACGTAATACGTACCTACGTGTTCAACTGTAGAGTTAATACAAGTAATAGAATTTCGTGAAAGTACTCTCTACACTGGGAATCTGATGTCTATAACTCGAAATATTACATTAAAAATATCTTACATGATGGTAAGATTGATAATGAGTATTTGGCGAATAACCAACCCAATCTATTACCAAACACTTAATCAACGCTACCGAGTCGACCAACCTGTAGCATGAAAAGTCAATGCACGAAGATTACGGTACGTATACAAATAAGTAAGCTGAATTTGTGACGGAAATGCTTTTTCGTGATGATTGTTATGTAATTACGAATAGGACAATGTAGTCATCAATCCAGAACTTGCAAACGTTATTGTAATGTTTTCCACTAGAACTAACATTATGCTCAAACCCTAGAGTTTAAAATTAGTGAGTATGATTATTATTATTTTCTTTTTTTATTCAGAGCAAAAGTTAATAATGATGCTTTTATGGGAAAATGTTTTATGTTTTCAATTTTCGCTTCGAATTTCATACTAACTTCCGTGTCATTTATTTTAATCCAAACAGGAAGTTTGATTAAAATTCACTGTATATTACCAGTTGAATGGAGGTTACAACATTACGTGGGGTTTGAAACTTTAATTACAACAGTTGAATAACGATCGATATCGAATTACAACGGAAATGGGAGTCGTCTATGGTAACGATGGAATTACATTTTGTTTCCATTATTTCTATTTCAAATCCATATAAAGCTGCATTATATTAGCTAACAACGTTAGTCAAAATCGTTATTTCCAACTAAATTAATTTCACCATATCGAAACGTCAGTAAATTGAAATACAAACACACAGTTACATTATCGAATTCAATCACAGTTTCAATCCAATCGAAAGAACAGCTCCTCAATGTATCCTGCTTTTTCTTACGAAAATTGTAAAACCACGCGTGATTATCTTATTCCCCAATCCAACAAAGTAGCCGATCCCCACGTCAGATAACGATTTCCCGACGCGCAGCTGCCGATAATCGCTACCTCGCCCCCATCGAGTCTAAAAGTCACCGAGTGCTCTCGACCGCATGATTTTCTGCGTGCACTTGCACCCGATCTTGAGCAATCGATCCATAAAGTCTCCCCCCAAACTGTACATGGAAGATTAGCACCATATGGTCCTCCTACCGAGGATGGAAAGGGAGAACACGTCCTTATGATGGACCGAGCAACGCCCTATTGAGTGAATTAGGTGACTCACGAGATACTGCCAAGTACTGTTATCTCTAGAGCTGCTTCTTCCAAGTTAGCTTGTACCACCGCTCTACAATCTACTACGAGTAATAACTAATCGTACTCATTGTAA